TCTCTCTCTCTCTCTCTCTCTCTCTCTCTCTCTCTCTCTCTCTCTCTTCTTCCATTTATTCCGCACATATTGATTCCGATTTTTTTTTCTCGTTCCTAAGAGCCGAAGAGAGTTGTTTTCATAACGATGCCCAAAAATAATCACTTGACTAGCGCACGACGATGACGGCGACGACAACCGCCGCTTATATATGGCATCGATAAATTTCACTGGAATGTTATGAATTACAACCGTTTCAGTGCACATATTGTTTGACAATGATATTGTAATGGCCATTATGTCGGCGTGTTGGTAACTAAAAGGTAGAATGGAATGGAATTCTATTGAATCATATAACACATCATGACATAAACTGACAATTTATTCATATCCATGAAAGGTCATACTCGTCCAATTATTTTGAATAAATGTGCGGCGCTATCTGATCGGAAAACCGATCCATTCGTTCGAAGAAATGACGAGCAACACACACACACATAGGAGAGAGAGAGAGAGAGAGAGAGAGAGAGAGAGAGAGAGAGAGAGAGAGTAATGTGGTCCAATGGCATGGAGATCAAATGTACGGTCAGTTACAGGTTATGGTCCAAAAATCTAAATTCGAATATAAATAACTTTCGCCTTATCACATGTAATTTTTCCGCATTTTTATATTTAGCTCTAGCGACACAATTGATAATTAAAATTAGATGATTGAAATTGATTGCTTACCGATGAATACGAATATTTGATGATGTGAATAACGCAATAGGATCGAAATTGACACCGTCTGAAAAAAGAATGCGAGAAAAATAATTTATTTTCATTTATTTTTCATTGAGGTGAGAGAAGAAAAAAAGTGCAGCGAAACGATTTGTTAGTTTAATATTAAATCGAACTAAAACTTACGAATAAAATCATAATGAAAAATGCAGCCGGATATGAGCCACGTGCCATCCACCACATAGATACAAAACGATAATGTTCGCCAGTGACAACGTTTCTGCAATGGGATAGACAAATGGGGATACCCCCACATAAAATATTGAATGAACATAGTTGCAATATCGACACATCAACAAGATTGTTTGTTTATATGCAACAGATGCAGCAACAACAGTCACAACGCCACACACACAGTTTGCCATATGGGTGTGTGAGCGCGCGCCAAGAGACGATTGCATGCCATCGAATCATGTTTATTTGAAAATTGATTGTTTATTGCACGGTTGCATCAATGGATTTCGTGTTGTATCGTTTTTACCTCAGATAGCCTTTGTTGTTCTCCTCTTCGGCAAGCACTTTAACCGATGCCATCAATAAATCGTCGTATCCAAGAAATTCCTTCAGAATGAAACGACTTAATGGATCACCAAAGCATTTGTCTTTATCAGGATCCAGATTTACGACTTGAATCGGTATTTTAAGACGTTCACGTGTCGCCGATGACAAACGCAAGAAACCATATTCCAATGAATATTCAACGATGTAATTCTCCTCCGGCCACACTGAAATTCAACAAACATATTTTTCAAGTTCCGGCACACATTCATACACGAAAACAAAATGAACAAAAAAAACAGCTATACAAAAAAACAGCATATGTTTGAGGTGAAAAGTCACCATGGCTAATAAAATTCAAAAGCTTGTTACAACCACTCTGTGTTTTTTGACAAATCGATCGGGAGTATGATGAAAAAGCTGGTTGGTAGCAGCACCAGTCACTGCATAATTTACGTATTATGACAAGCTATTTGTAAAATTACCTTCGTTCAATAGTTTGTCAACTTCCGGTGTGTCGAGCGATATGGGGTTGGTCTTTTTCTGAGCATCACTTGCCAGTGTCGGCGACGATGATTTTTCGATCGTTTGATTTAGGTAAATTACATCATCTGTTGTCGTTGTCGTCGTTGTCGTTGTTGTTGTTGCTGGTATTGGTGATGAAGTGCTGTGTTCATAAGATGCTTTAATTTCCGGACTTTTGACGCTTTTAAATCGATTACTATCCGAAATCGGCGCATTACTTGGCTTGCCTATACCATTGATACTATTTGATTTTGGTAAATCATTTGTTGTAACGTTATTGATATTTAAAGCGTTCATCAAAATTTCACGAAATTCGGTTTTATTCAGTATCACACTGTCGTTTGCATCAGCATATTGGGATACGATTTTTGCTTCGTGCTCATTAACAGCTTCGTTTGGTTGTTCGCCACCCGCCACAATATCCACATTGGTCACATATTTTTGACGCAAATTATCATTGTATCGACTTAATTTACCCTCTTCGAATTCATGAGGCAACGGTTTTGATGGATCCAAACTTACGTAACCTTCTTTTGTGGTCGATCGATAGCTGGATAGTTCAGCATCTTTGATGGTTTCTTTAAACGATTTATCGGACAGCCGAATAATTTCCACCCTGTTTGTAAAATGAGAAATTGCGGAGAAAATGTAGTTTAGTTTTCTTATTATAAAAAATTAATTCATTGATCAAATTGCATTGGAAACTTACCGAAGGATTCCATCGCGTGGCCATTTTGTTTTCATATGTTCTAAGCATGTGGCTGGAGTTTGTGAAAAAGTTATATGAATATAGACTAAGATGAAAAAAGCAATCAACGCCTTGACTAAGAAGAAGAACTCGATGATCCGTCGCACAGGCCTACAATGAAAAGAAAAACATCCATGAGATTTCGACACGCACGAAAAAAAAACAAACGTGAAATTCCACAAACAACAACAAAAATGCATACCCCGGCACCGTTTGTGAATAGGCTAAAGCGATTTTAAAGAAAAGAGCATGGAAGAGCCTATCTCGTACGCTGATCAATGAGTTTTGACTGTTGCGCGATCGATTGGTATTGTTATTGAAAATGTTGTTATTATTGATGAGCGGAGTGTCTAGGCGTGGATTATTTTCAGGATTCACATCAGGCGGTAAACCATTGTTGGTGTCCGTCATTATATTTGAAACAGCCCAGTTGCCACTGGCTGACGTGAAGATTAAGTATCCTCTGTATTTGTGTGGTATGTAAATAAAACCCTTGAAATTCAAATCGTTGGCTGATATTAGTTGCTTGTTTTAGGTCCTAGAAGGGAATTAAGACAGAAAAAATCGCAATATTAACAATCAAATTGTAATGACGCGTGAACATATTTCAATACACTCACCTGCTAATTGACATGTTATGTTGTGTTTGATGAACACAGAAATATCGAATGAGGCTATTAGCAATGCAATCGAATCGCGTGGCAACGAAATGTATTCAAGATGCTATCTGGAACAACAACAAAGCAAATCATATGGGTAAATGAAAACAAAGCAAGAATTATATCGGTTAATTTCATTGAGACTTTTTCGCTTAAAATTAATAAACATTCTTCTTGAAGGTCAAACAGTTGCCTTTGATCGCCGCTGTACACTTCATTGAAAATGCAAACTGTGTTTCCACGATATTACCATTGCATTGCACAGAACGTGCCTTAGTCCACGAGAATCAATAAGCATTTCAACGTAAGAAATGGCAACAGCAAAAAAAAACATAATATAATGATTGCCGACTTGTTTGTTGGCCAATGATTTTTTGCCGGTTGTACTTAAAAATAAAATCGCGTTTCTATTTTTAGCCGACGAGTTTCTCCAAATTCTTCCACTCCTCTGCGGCTTACGTGCCAACAGTCGACTGGTTCGATGACAATGCATTGAAAACAGTGATGGGTGTAATACCTTAAATCCCTTTAAAACTGTAATCCTTTTTATGTAACACCTTCTACCCACTGATCTCACACAATCAACACAAGTAGATTATCTTATTTCGTCTGATTTCGTCCAAACCAAATAGAACAATTCACCACCAAAATCAGTTTCCAATAAGATTGTCGAGAGGCATTAATTGAAATAAACAGTGTTATACTTGTATATTCTGTTCAAACGTAATTGAACGCGCAACGGATATTTACATTCGCAAATGTCATATTGACTGTGTATGTGTTTGCGGGTCCCAATTGTGCTCTCTGTGACGTTAATGCGAATTTTTATTCGCTTTGTCTTTTCCAACATTCACTTGATGTGCGGTTGTCGCTGCTTTATGTTTTATTGTTGTTGTAACGATTCTACATGAATGACGTCAAATGTTTACTGACGTTTCGTTTGCCTCTTTTCGCCCGAAGAAAGAAAGCAACAAAGCGAATAATAAACTGATCATGAAAAACACATATATATATATCTGTACTATACAAAATCGCGTATCGTATCGTGCGCATAAATTGTAGCGCAAGACCATGAAGATCATTTCATGCTAGATATGTGTGTCACATGTTAGTGAATGCTCTCAAGAGTGATGCATTGCCTGTTGTTGTTGTTGTTGTTGTTCAGCATGTATAAACAAATGCCGATGTCGAGCAGCGGCTTGAGACACACAGCTGAATACTGTGAACACACTGCCAAACCATAAGTAATAGCTCTTGATGGTAATAGTCGAATGAACCTTAAGCACGACACTTTTTTGCGTTTATTTTTTTTTTCCTTAACGAAGGTTCTCTCAATGAAATACCTTTTCCGTTGTCTAAATTCAAAGTTGTATGTACTGACAACGACTGTACGATGAGAGAGTAAGAAAAAACAAAACGAAGAAGAGCAACAGCGCTTTTGGAAAGTTTTTGACCAATCAAAAGGTCAACATAACGTTTGTCAGAATTTGGCGAAGATCCACACGCACACAGACAGACAGACCCATAATCAAAGTGATGATCATTCGTGGAATTATGAATACTTTGATTTGGAACGGTACCATTGTCGGTTTATTGTCATGTTTTATTTATCAAGTTTGATTGTGCTGGCTGGTTTTGACATCTTTCTCTCTGTATGCCATTTGAATGCCTGAGAATAAATGTAATTTCTGTAGTATTCGCAGAGCGAAACGACACAAAAATGATTCGCATTTCAAAGCGACACAAAATTCTGTTATCCGGTCAATACGACGCATAGAATTAGTATTTACACACTGTCTGTGTTCCGCTTTGTTCTGAGGACACGACAGCGTGTCGCTTGGTTCGAGTAACCAAATATTGTGTCGTTTTGAAATGCGACGCACATCCATTGCTCACATTGAACCGATAACTGAACATGGGAAGTTTGTATGAAAACCTCGGAGCGCCGCTGGTATTGCATTGGCTTCTATGGCCAAATGTACACATGGAAATATCTCGAAAACGGCTGGGTTAATCGGCAAAACGGACCATGATGTCACTCCCGAAGGGAGTGCAAACACCCGGCTGGTTTGACGGCCTAGAATACAAATCCGGTGGAATTTGGGCTGATCCATGGATTCTC